ACAGGAAATGTTGAAGTCAAAAGACTTCAAAGAAAGACTTGAGGGTAATATAACAGACCAGTAACTGTGTGGGATAACAGATTGATGCAGCCCTCTAGAAAGAATGGGAAACACAGGGCAGATAGTTAGTAGAGTATTACCATGGTCAGTAGAGACCTACCATGTCCCACTGAATATTAGGGCTCTCTAAAAATGCCTTCTATACAATAAAACTCCTGAAGACAGGATAGCAAAGGCATGGTTTCATCTTACTTTGTTTTAAAAAAAATAATTTTTTATTGTATTATTTTGTTATTGAGATAACAATGGTTTAAAACACTGTACATGATTCAGAGGTATAGGTTCAAACCTCTTGAAATGTAGTTATCACACCCACCCCCAAGACTCCCAGAATCCTCCATAGTCCATTGGAACCCCTCTTTCCATTGCCCTTTGCTTCCCACCTGAAATATTGCCCTCTGGAAGCCTGACTTCCATAGTCATATTTATAGGCTCATGCTGAGGCTTCATGAAAGTGGGCAAAGTAACTAGTCCAGGGTCAGGCATAGGTAGTAAAGGACCAAACTAGGGGAGCATAAGTATAAATAAGAAGGACAGTGATTACAGCAGGCTAATCAAGGGACCTGTGATGAGTTTAATTCAATAAAGAAAAACCTGGAGAGGCGAAAGAGTGAAATATCTTTTTTGTCACATTTACATCCGTTTTCTGTTCCTTTCCACCATGCTTTCTGCCTTAGGTGCTGGCTTATGTGATCTACAGTGGGTTCCCATAGTCTCTAGATTCCACCTGGTTTAGCCTGTGGCTTCTGAGAGAAGAGAGTGAGGTCACAGAATAGATTACTGCAGCTGTACCCTGTGAGGAGCCTCAGACTGTCTACCCTCAACCCAAACTCATAGCACCTCCATGAAAAGGCTCTCTAACCTTCTCTTCTGGGTTTCCGCAACCATTCCCTTTCCACATCATTTGGGTCTGGAACTGTAACAGGGTGGTGCCCAGGAAAGGGGGAGGTTCCATGTTCCCTGCCCCACCCAAAGGAGGGTGGGGCTGAGCAGGGAGGAAAAGCTGGAGAGGAGACTGGAGAAGGAGGAAGCAGGATGGAGAGCAAGAAGGAGACCTGGAGGAGACACATGGAGCAGAGAGACATGTGAAGAAACTACACTTGCTTCTTGGTTATGGACTGGTTGAAATAGATATGGGTGAGAGGCCCGTGGGAAGGTTAACAATGGCAGTTTTTAATCTTGATTTTGATTTTTCTCTTTTCCTCCCAAACTTGTCTGGCTATTTCTGATCCTTTTCTATGGGTCCACATCGGAAGGTGCTTTGGACTTGTGGCAGGCTTTTGGGCCTTGCTCTAGGCCAATCCCATTTGGGTAGACTTTTACCCATGAGGGGATGGGTAACTTTGGGTACTTGATTTGAAAACTATACTCTGTCTTTCTGTATTGTTCATCAATTGCATTAAAGTTCCTTTCCATTAAAGGTCTATGTTTTGTCTTGATGTGGTGGATGGCAGAACTTATTCAGAGCAGGCAGGTTTGGGGGCTCTGGGGTACTCTTCTCCCCACTGTAACAGGACAGTAACTACCCCACTGTTACTAGCACTGGATGCTACACTCTCTACTATTGTTTCCCTAAATTTAATTTCACCTTTGTAAATAATGCTTTTATTAACCCTTCAAATTACCCTGATATTCATGTATCATTAGCTTCCTGCTGAAACAGGTGATACTCTAAATATGATTTTAAGATGTTGATCTTGAGTGGCTGTGAACATAGGTGATATTATTAACTAAGAAAAGGACCATGGGTAGATTAATAAGTTCAATTGTAGAAAGAAAAAAAAATATATTTTGTATTTGCTATATGATAGTTGTGCATCATACGCAGGAAAAGGTTGGCAGTTGCTGCTGTAGCAGACCTACCATAAAGATGGATAATGATTTTCGAAAATTTGCAATCCTGATCATTGCTATAAACATTAGTTTAATATAGGGAAGTTATTTAATTTAGGAGTTGGCATCAGAAAACTTTAAAATTATAACATACACGCATAAATGGATGTTAATTATCATCTAGCTGAGCTTTCCCTTTTTGGGTGCGGTAACTGAAGTCCACAGTGATCTATCAAAAGGCACACTGTGTGTGAATAGCAGTGCCGGCAATAGAATCTACAGCTTCTTGGATCCTACACTTGTGCTCTTCCCCCAAAATGCAGCATTTATGTCTACTTGACTGCTTGCCATGATTCCACAAATATCGAGGACCTAGTCTGTGTCCAATATTGTGCTTGTTGACATGAGGAATAAAATAGAAGTAGAACAGTTTTCCTGTATTTTATCATATTAATTGACTAACAACTCAACTATGTTTAGGAAAAAAAGTCAAAAAACAAAGGACTATACTAGAGGAGTGTGGGACATTTGATGTGCTAAGGACACTGTCACCCAGTATTCATGTTGTGAGTTTTTAGAGGTTTTCTGTGAATTACTGATGTGAGTAAGGAGGTAGTAACAGAGAAATTTGATAATTGCTACAGCAACAATTATTGTCTCAATGAAAGTGCTGAAGAATTTGAGTTTTAATTATAGAATATAATATGTAAGTATGAGAATCTATAAAACTATCTGTTGCTCCCTATAAAGACCATATATTTAAACGGCAGCTTAAATAAAAACATATTTTGACAAATGAGGAAAAATATTTCCTCTTCATTTATTTATGGATATATAGCATATACTGCTATGATTTAACTGTAAATGTAAAGAGATCAAAATCTGAAAGTCTTCACACTTAAGCATTGCTCCTTTGAAATCAGGTATATCTTCTCCCTGTTTATTTTGTGACAGGTATATACAATTCTAAACTATGCTGAGAACCTTCTTAACAGGAATTATAACTAGAATGGCATCATTATTCTATTTTCACATACTCATGACTTCCTCAACAATGTTCATTAATGACTGAGAAATTACCAACTTGGACTCTTAAAAGAGGAAAAAATTCCCCAAGTCAATTTGGGAATCATTGCTGGAAAAAAGGTGACATCTACATGGACAGTTAAAATAATCTCTATTCATCTTAATGTTGAAGTGAGTTTATTTTGCAAATGATGATTCACAAGTGTTCATAAATTTTCCATATATATGCCTCAATAATATCAGATTTAAAAGGGTGATCAATCCAAATGTGAGTCCAAAAAACAAACAAAAAAAGACATCCAATGAATTTATAAGAAGGGGAAACTCAATAAACAGGAAGAAATTATGCTCAACACTTTTGCCAGGAATCTGTCATACACAAAAGTCAAGCCACTGAGGAGATGTATGGAATAAGCACACTTCCCAGTGTGAGAATTAGTACCACAAGCTCAAACTATACAACAAGCAGTTAATCTGAATGTATGAAGTAGTCAAACTTCAGCCCATAGAGAGTTATAAGGATAATAACTACCTGCAAAGTACATATTTCACCTAAGGTCTCAAGTGTGTATATGTATGTATGTTTATACACTATGGATTAAACAAAGAGCATCTGAATTCTGCTGTGAACCACCAGTCTGTGATGCCAATTTTAGGGAAATTAGGTTGAACAATTTCTACACTTAACTTTGTAGAAATTTTTTATTCTGTGGGCCAGTAAGTTTGAGATATTTCATTATTGTTATTCTCTGTATGTTATTCCCCCCACCCCAAATACCTGTTGAAATCCTAACTCCCAAAGAATATGATGTTGAGAGGTGGGGCCTTGGGGAGATACTTGGGTCATGAAGGTGGAGCCTTTATGAATGGCATTAGTGTGTTTATAGAGATGCACAGAGATCCCAAGCTTTTCCACCACTTTAAAACACAGTGAGATGGCGCTGGATATGATGAACCAGGAAAGGGCCCTCACTTGACCATGCTGTCAACAGATCTTTGACTTCACAGCATTCAGAATTATGAGAAATAAATGTCTATTGTTTATAAGCCACCCTGACTGTGGGGTTTTGTGATAGCAGTGAACAGACCTGGATAATATACAGTCCGTCCCTTTATTTTCAATTTTATAAGAATCAGAGTCAAAAAAATTCCTGTGTAAAAGTTAATGTACTAATTTTAAGTTTCATTTCCCAGGTATTGAAAAAAGGAATTTTATCAACTGCATCTTGTGTCCTCTTAAGTTCTTCTACATAAAACACAAGAAGCGAGATTTCATGAGAATCCACTTGTCTAGAGCAGATCACAGATAAACATCAGATGTATTCAAGATTACCTAAGAAATACTGAAATCCTAAACACTGAGAATTGAATGGTAAAGCAAAGGATTATCTTAGTTTCATTCTGCAGGTAAGAAAATACAAAATGCCATTAGCTAAATGTTGGTCTTATCTTGTAGTCTTTGCATGAACCACAGTTTTGACTTTAAGTTCACCCAAGCATATTAATGGAAGACAGGATGTCTGCACACCCCAGCTCAATTATCTGTTTTTCCACACGCTGGCACTCATCATTATGGGAAGGAAAGTTTGGCTCAGATGCTGCTCAGATCTTATACCAGTACTTATGTAATAACACAATTCAGGTTTACTCCCACAGTCCATAATGCAACTGCTAAGTTACTCATGCACAGCTGATGAACAACAAATTCTACAACAAAATTCCCAATTAATATAAACAATTTTTGCTTATGCACTTAAAAACTGTGGATTAAAAGGTTTTTTTAAATTCATGTGTTTTGGATAGTATACATCCTTTTCCCCTTTCAGTACAGTACAGTCAGAATTACAACAGAATTTATGACAGAATTATGTGAGCAAAATCTTTAGAAAGTTTTTCAAAGCTGGATTGTAATTAATGTTAAAATATGTATGCACATGGACAAAGACCAGAAAGCAATTTCTAAAATGCACACAATTATTTTGGAAAGGTTGAACTGAAGGTGACTTTTTCATTTTCTAAAATCATATTATTGTTGATGCAGCATAAATTCAATGAGAATTATTTTAAGCTCCAGTACTTACGGTGGTTGGAAAATAACGACTAGTTTTGAATTTTTTCAGAGCCATAGAAGAGGTATAGGTGCCCAAGAAGAGGATGAAAGACATGAGTGAGATATCAGGAACAAAACTGCAGTTGTTTCCCATGAGCTTTCCTCCATATTTCAAACACTCCTTCGTTGACAAAAGTGCCCAGTCAAGGGTAGCATTATGGTGCTGAAGAAGAAAAACATTAAAAGTTTTCTAAAGAATACTGGCATACCAAAAGCAGCTTTTGAAAATTAATGGAATGTATATGGATTCTGCTAAAAGTTTCTATAAAACTAGAGCAATCACTCAACCACTGAAGGGTGAAACCTGATAAAGTGTTAATGAAATAACAGGTAAGTGGGGACAGGAGACTAGCAATTACTGAAAATACAGTGAGAATGATGCAATCTGTTACCTCAGTTGAGCTGGAGCCCTACAATCACCCATTTGTTCAACCGAAATAAACCACAAATTCCCTCTTTCCTGTCAACCTCCTGAGAGTAAACTGGGACATACTAATATCCTAAGTCACAAGATCTGAAACACCTTTGTTGTTCAAAAAGTACTTACTTTTGTATTGCACAGCTTCTTATCCTTTGAGCTGATGACACCATTAACTACTCATTTACCTAGTACTCTCAAAAATGAGCTAATTATTTCTAAATAACGAATGATTGGTGACTTAAGAAATTAAGCTACAAAAATGTTAAGCCTCTGCTTTTTCAATTGCAAGTCCTAATGAAATAGTGTTTTTCTTGTTGACTTCATTGAGTGTCATGAGCGTCGTTACTGAAATGTACAGTATGTAATGACTTTAGGGCTGGCGAGTCGTCTTTGGGATATTTATTTCTATGTCACATGGTCTCAAGCTTATAGATCAATTTTCAGATTTTCTTCTATCTCATGAAATATTGTTAGGTCTGTGGTGGGCTTCTTGGCTGCAAATCATTCCTATCCCTATTTTCTGTTTCTAATATTCAGGAGAACTCTTTTTCAAGCACAGTGGTCAGAGCAAATGCACCCAACCCCCAGCTGCTCTGAGTTTCAGTTGCTATCAGCTTTCTGCTGCCTCCTCTAGAGAATTCCCTTCAGCCAAGAAAGAGCTACCTCATCTGAAATTTGATGCCTCCTTACAGCCAATTAATGACAAATGCTATAGGGAGGCTACAGACTGAATATTTGGGTTCCCTTAAAATTGATATGTTGAAACCCAATACCCAGTGTGAAGGTATTTGGGGGTGGGCTTTTGGAATGTGACTGAGTCATGAGTCATGAGGGTAGAGCTTTCATGAATGGAACTCATGTCATTATAAAAGAGACCCCCAGAGAGCTCCTTTGTCCCTTCTGCCACATGAGGATACAGTGAAAAGGTCTGTCAGCCAGGAAGGAGGCCCTCCTCAGATACTGAATCGGGTGGTACCATGATGGTAGACTTTCTCTTGCATCCGGGACTAATGGGTAAGTTGTGTGCCAGCAGAATAGTTATTTGAGAATATTTCACAAATAAATCAACAGTAAAATTTTCCTGCCATTTGAAGGCAAGAATTCTATATCACATCGCTAGCCATAAAAAAAAATGACACACACATGAATCCTATGGTCAGAAAGTCCATATTTTTACAGAATTCAAAATGTAAAGTGCTTAGATAGCAAATTAAAAAATAAATTCTAGATCTTTCCTTGAAGTATTTTTTTCTACATTAGTTTTACTTGCAAACAGCTGAATTGCATAATTATACTTTTATCAAACTCTGCTTCTTAGAGGTGATTAATCATGTCTCGTTTTGTTTTTTAGATTTCCACATATGGATGTTTTTAGCAGAATATATTTAAAGTTTAGAGGTCATAATAGGTAACAGATTTCTTTGTTTTAAAATCAGCAAAAATTTACCATAATTTCACTTCAGCACTTTTATATCAGCAGAATGCTTCTTTATAATAAGAGGTCCCCAAAGAGGTAAGAACATTAAAATAATCCCAATAGGCAGTTTTATTGATTTTCATACAGAGATTCAGGTTGAGGTTAAAACAATACAAATGGACATGAAAATAAAGACATGTTTTTTACATCAACTTAAAACATGAATGTCACTGTTTTGAAAGCTTCAGATGGTTTTTTTGTATCATTGAACAGAAAATTTAGCCTCCAAATACCATCTTTCACTAAGGGCTTAAGCATTAAAATTTTCATGCAGCATGTATAGATTGTAGTACATATATTGATACACAGTTTCTCACTCCTTTAAAATTCAAACTAGCATATAAACAACTTTATTTAAATATTACTGAAAAGACATCAACATTATTTGTGTCATTTAAGTGTCAATATTCCAAAGTAAGCTAAATTAATGAAGACTTAACTGTTTGCACCAGAAAAAAGTAAAAGGCTCCATAAAAATATGGAGCCTGGTGACTAGGGGGACTCTGTCTCACCATAAAATAGGAAGAAAGAATCCATATCACAAATTAAACATTAAGACAATCATCTATTCGTGCCATGTATATGTAAATATGCAAGCTAGGGTATTAATTAGCTGATAATTTAATCACCACAGATACCAACTTATATAATTTTACTCCAATGTATGAAACAAATACATACATGTATTTGTTATGTATGGGTAACTGAATCATAAAGTAGTGTGTTAAACACTGTGCAAATCTATTCACCTAGGAATAGCAACCATAGGAGGCAGTGATGCAAAGAAGTTTAAGAAAAACTGCTTTAGTGTATTATAACTGAGAGAATTCTGTGCTATAATGTGACTTCTGTGTATTTCAACCACACTTTGATGTTCACTTCCTCAAACAAAAAATTCGTGATTGAAAGATTAATAGTAATTTGTTAATTCATCATCAAAGTTTTTCCAGCTCAAATAAACATTAATCATTTTATAATTCTTACCACTCTACATCCCTGCTTGAATCTCCAAAGTAAATTCAAACCTAACTCCTAATCTTTCTCCTTAAATCTTCTTAATCACAACTTCATCCATCTAGATTCTAAGAATAGAGAACCTTGAAGTCATTGTCACAAATTACATCTTGGTAAAGACTTTATATCAAAACACATCCAAAATGGGACTATATCTCACCCTTAACCACTGCTACCACCCTGGTTCAAGTGACCATTGTCTCCTCTTGTCTTAATGAAGGACACTTTTATCTCGCTGCTTCATTCCTTTATTCCTTATAGGTGATCCTCACTTCTCTAAGACCTTTGGTTTTTATTTCCTATACACTTGATTTTTATTTAAGCACTTGAATGCTTAAATCAGAATTTTAAGAACAAAACAAACAGGAACATAATGTCACAGATTCTCTCTGCCTGTAGGACCTCTCACAGTACATTATCTATATGCTTTAGGATGTTTGAAACTTTCGTCTGCAATTGTCAAAACACTTTAACTCCCACCAAAGAAACCATTAGTATTACATGGCAAAAATGCTCAAAGAGGTTTAATGGGTCTAAAGACTTGGACATAGAAGAGATGTCAACTTGGCGAGATGAACTTAGGAGTGTACTGCAAAGAGCTGATCATGGGATGTAGTTAGATTTCATAAAACTGTAAAGGGAAAAGCACGGAAAGCAGTATAAAGCTTCTAGGATACCCTCAGTAGAAGTGAAGATTACAATCCAAACTATGAAAATATCACACAGTTTTGAGTAAAGTGAGGAATGAAATGGGAATGTTAAAACTAGAACTACGAGGAGGAGAAAATGGCAATACGTGGTAGAGTGAAAAGGTCCTAGTGTTGCAGAGAAATGATGAAAGGTTAAGACTAAGTAACATCTGTTCATGCTTTTTTTTTTTTATAACTAGAAAAACTGGTTATTTCCTGGAAGGTGTATTCAAAAAAGAAAAACCACAATTCAGTAAGTTGAGGAAGAAGTGACAGTGAAAATATTGAAACTGCAATTCCAGACTACTTTTTCAAGAAATAGAGTAACAGAAGGGTAGGATAGAAAATATGAGCATTATGAGATCAAGACAAGTTATTTAGGGCTGATGAGGACTTTTGCAGTGTTTGTGATGAAAGACAAACACTTCAGTTATAGGGTTGGAGGAGGGGGTGTTGGAAAAATGAGAATGGAGAAAGGTGAACTATTGATAGAGAGAGGTTGACTAGGAGTTGGCCAACTGTTTGCACCAGAGAAAAGTAAAAGGCTCCACAAAAATATGGAGCCTGCTGACCAAGGGGACTCTGTCTTACCATAAAATAGGAAAAAAGAAGAGCAGAACAAGAAGTGGCTGAATTCAATTTAAATTAGGCACCAAAGAAATCTTAGTTGAGTAAATGAATGAAATCTTTCTTTTTCAAATTTTATTTTTTAATTGAGGTAACATTAGGCTCTCCTTCATTAGGCATCACGCTGTGGGGCACCCACAACCAAATTTCCCATAGTCCACCACCATAGTCCACTGTCATGAATGGAATCTTTCATCAGAATCTAGAATATTTTACATATTCAAGTAAGAGACCTACCAATTTATTGATTTTTTTAAAGATTTATTTTTATTTATTTATTTTTTCATACAAGAACTGGGGTGTAGGCCAGAGGTTTGGTGGGGTGTGTGTGAGAGGATTCACCAGAGACAGAGTGGGGAGCAAAACAGGCAGACTGAAATACACTGCTGAGGAGAGCAGTGGATGAGACAGGAGAGATCTGCTGTGTCATGTGGGTTAGCTCCCTGGCTGGGGGATTGAACTCATGCCATGGCAGTGATAGCATTGAGTCTTAACCCCTATGCCACCAGGGAGGCCCCCAATTTATCTTTTTTTAGTATATGTATATCCTATGCAACATACAGGACATATTTACATTACCAAATCTGGTCATTATTTATTTGAAATTGAGATATAACTGATTTGGGGTTTGTTTTTTTGTTTTTGTTTTCTTTTGTTTTGTTTTGTTTGCCAAATCCAGTGATGGTGCTTCTATTATATAAAGGCTATCATGAGTAAACAATAACATTTAGAAAATAGAAAAGCATCAACAAAAGAAGATAGAAAATGCACTGGCCCCAATCACATGGATGAACTAGAATTTCCAGGAGCAATAAAAAAGACTAAGACAAAACCAATTTAAAAAGAGAAAAAATGTCCACTTAAATATTAATAATGCAGGCAGTGAAAGAAAGTGTCAAAATGAATGGTACTGAGATTAGGATCAGAAAAGGAACTAATCAATTCCTCTGAGCAAAGAAAAACAAAATTTAAATTAAGTCTTGACCAGAAGGACCAGTCCTTGTAGAATTCTCATACTCAAAAAATAAAGTGGCAGGACAGCAAAACAAACAAAAGAACAACAGAGAGAGCAACAAAAGCCAAAGGATAAGGGAATTAAAATGACAAAATTTGGGTCTGTACTTCTTTCTGTACTGGCAGAAACAAGGAGGTTAAGCCAATAGATAGGGAGACACTAAGGGCAACAATGCTTGATTCTGGGACAAATAATGCTTCATTCACTCATCCAAGTCCTTTATTCAAAACTTACTTAATGCTCACCACGTGGACCAGATGGGTCAAAGCAAACTGTGTAAATGAGTAATAGGGGAAAAAAAGGTATTAAGGAAATGAGACCAAGTTGCTGAGGATATTAACTGAGGTCAATCTCATGAAAGGAAATTTCAAATGATTTTTTTCTCATTTTCAACAGAAATACTCTTTTTGTATTAGGGGCTTCGTTTGTAAATCTTAAAAGTAGAATGTATACCAAAGGATTTGTTTCTTTTTTCCGCTCCTTTTTTCCCCCCACCAGCAATCCTTATATTTGCTCTTTACTCTTCTCCACCCCCTCTAACCTCAGAAACCTCTCTTCACTTATTGATGTCCACTAGACTTGTATTTTGTTTCGTCAAATTGTCTGTTATGTAAATGTCCAGTAATAGTCTTTGTCACTCTTACTTGCTTGACTTCACATGATTTGCTCAAGTGCCTTCCATTTTGTCATAAATGGCAATGTTTGGTGTTTCCTATGGCTGAATAGTATTCAATAGTGTGGTTATACTACAACTTTTTGTGATGGTCCTAAATGGCTTATTAGATCAGAATTTCACAAACATTACATATTATTAGTGGTAGCAGCAGAGCTGGAGAGTATTGTGCCTTCTCCAAGCTGCAGAGTAAGAACCACCAAAAGTATGATGAAATTCACTACCCTTTCTAAGCCCATGGCTCTTGCAGGCTGTAGCCGTCAGCCCGCACAGCTCCCGAACTGATGCGGTGATCCACTGGATATCAGGATTTCTTCTGATAGATTTATGGAATGTATCAATGAGGACAATCTCAAAATTTGGAATCTTCACCCAGTATAAACTGAGGTTTCACCACACTGATGTCCAGTTTGCTCCACGGCAGTAGACTGAGAGTTTTGAGCAAACATTATTTGGTGAACACCCTGATAGACATGTCATACGTTGCAACCTTAGAACTGGATGATTGTGACCGCCACAGCACACTTGAATACGACAGAGGAAATAACCTTACTTGGCTGTGTATCCCAGTGTGTGCATTTTATTGGATCAGGTAGGGTAGGGTGGGAGGTTGTGGCTGCTGAAAGTTGGCAGTACAGCCAGCAGAGCACTGAGAAGGTGCATCTCATCAGAATGCTTCTTACTGCACTGCTCCTGGACCTACTGTATGCACCCATCGTGACTGACCTGATGGGTGCTGCAAAAGCAACAGAGCCTTTGACCCCTATACCACATCCTCATGATTCAGTCTTATACCAAAGAATTCATTTTAAATTTTAAAATACTATAGCATTCTCCCCAAAGAAAAAAGTGGGGAACATATGAAAGAGGACGGGTAAAATGAGGACAGTTGTTGAAGCTCAGTGATGTGTACAAAGGGGTTCACAGTACTATCCTCTCTTTCAGGGTATGTTTGAAAATATCCGTAATATTTTCAGAAATTGGAATATGTAATTTTCAAGGACATTTAAGGAGAGAATGGGTTTTTTTTAACTTGACTTTCTTGATGGGAGAAAATCATAAGGATCTATTCACAAGATTAATATGATATTCTCTTCCCATGAAAATAATATTTATTTGTAGAATCATCCTGAAGGTAAATCAAATCAAAACACTTTTGCTTCTAGGTCTGACTGTGAAGCAGAATTTATGAGACTATTGTTCTTAATCCTATAATCAATAGCATCTCCATGTAGATAGAATATGCTTTACTAGGTAATATAGTAAGAAAAAAAAATCAAATTCTACAGTGCTTGAAATATTGAATGGTAAAATATGAGACTTTTAAAAACTATTATGGTAACACTACTAATAAGTTCTCAAGATTGAGTAGTAGTTAACAAACTCACTTAGGTTTTTTTCTCTGCAATGGGTGAATCAGATTTTACAGTAATCTGCAATCCTATTTTATCTACAGGATGCATTTGAGCAGCAGTTGTCTGTAGTTATATGTAACATTGTGAAATATCAAAATTAATTGGTTGATCTGCTTATGATTAAGCTATAAAAGTTGCAGGAAACTGTCACTCCCAATCTAATAACCAAAGCAAGCTGGATAAATTATAAAATTATGGTTTAAAAAATGTCTGCCAGAAAGATGATAATGCAAAGAAACCTAAAACCAAGTTCCACAAAATTTCAAGACCTTCATAGAAAAGGAGGAGACATGGCTGTTTCATGCCTGGCAGAGCAGCAAGTGGGAGATAAATCCAATGAAGATGGAGATGAGGAAAAATAAGCCAATTTTCAATGAATTTTTAACGTTGTATGTTCTGCGAAGCCCTAGCATTAACTGAGCCTGCACCTACCCATAAAACTCTTGGTCTGCCGCATGCAAGGTAGCACATAAAAAGCTGGAGGTTAGAAAGGAGAGCTGCGAGACAACACCCCTTCCCCCCACACCGCTCCAGATACACAGAGTCACCATCAAATGTCAGAAGGCCACTTTCCTAAGGTGAGAGCCAGAAGAGGAGAGCAGAGGGAAACCCTTCTGAGGCATTCAGGCATTTCTAAAAGGGGGAAGGCACCTGACCTGTAAAGACCAGGGCAGAACAGTTAAGAAAGATCTCCCAAGATTCAGAAAGCTGGCACAGAAAACAAGATACAGAGCATTGTGTGCATTTTCTGGGATGATGGAAATGCTCTACATCTTGTTTCGGGTGGTATTTATGTGAGTATCGAGACTTCCCAAGACTCATTCCCAGAACTGTGCATTTCAAGTTATGCCTCAATTTAATTTTAAAAAGGTAATCTAATGTGAAAAGTAAATATTAACTGCTATATTCAATCACCTCCTCAGAAGAGACTGGTCTCTCCCTCAGGGCTAATAAATGGAAGCCAACAGATCTAACTGATCATTGTTTAGATACACTGTAGATAAACTGTGACTAGTCTCAAAGCTTTACAGGGACTTTCGAAGAATTTTGTTTGCAGGTTGAAGGTATAAACCATAGGAGAAATCAACAACAAAACTTGTGAAAGTCAGAAGAAATAAAGACACAATGATCCCAACTATAAATGGAAATGAAAACCTGCCTTTTTATCTCGATATAATTATTATAGGCTTCTAATCTCTATCTAATGCCCTAATGCCCTGTTTTTCCTGTTCTTTCCCCCCGGGAAAACACCCATACCAGTAGGAAGAAGCAAGCTTGTCTCCATGCTAATGAAGCTAAGGAGGAGAGGCCTTCCTTCCTCTCACAGGATGTTTGCAGGGCCCCTTAGAGAGAGTCTCTCTGGTGCCCAGAGGCTGCTTGTCACTTTTACAGCACCTTCTCGCATGATCTAATTATGACTGAACTGAAAAGAAGGAAATTAAGTACTGATGACTGTATGTCCTAGGAAAGGTTCATGACCGAGCAGACTGAGTGGTCTGTCTGAAGCAGTTGATTTCAAATGTCTTCTCTCTACCACTCTCAGTGAAGTAGTGTGGCCTGATGGAAGGATAATAACACCTAAGTAGAATTAGGTACACACATATATAAACACATATATAAACAAACATATAATCTTTCATAGACACACACAAAATAAAAAAATCAGAAAGGAATGAAATATGAGATGCATAGTTTGGACAAAGCCAGAGAACCTTTAATCGTAAGGAAAAAAGTCAAGAGAGCTACAGAATATAAAATCAAGAGAGAAAAAGGGTCAAGTGAGAGTTGTCCAGGAAATATAGAAAACATCTTTGAAAGCGATGTTGTGGGCACTCATTATATAATAACTGCTGAAGTGTTCTGGTCTCCTGAGAGATGGGCACTCTATCAACACAAGGTATTATGGTTTCTGTCTTTAAAACTGAGAGATTGATACTCTTTGGTAAGATTCCATATCCAGTGTAGAGTGAACACAATTGGAAGTCTGAAACAGCACTTTTCCCTTTTTCTCCAACACAAAAGTCTGCTTCCAGTGCGTGACCTTCCATGCAAAATAGCTCATTTTTAAAGCTTAGTTCCAGTCCCTTAAAGATCCTTGGTTACAAGCCATGGGAAAGGATATCATGTGACAGAGGCACGGTCTTTCTAAGTGACAGGGGAAATGTCTTGCTACAATTACCCTGAGCAAAGAACACAGCACCATTTGGTAGTCAGAAGAATTCTTAATCATACTAGAAACAGAGAGAGAGGATACCAAGCTCTTGTTTTTCAACTTCTCTTACATTCCCTTGTGAAACTATTTCAAGGTGACAATTAAAGAGATATAACAATTAAATTACTAAGGCAGCTCAAAAAGCATATTGTAGAAGTAAATACTGATTTCAGCTTTTTTAAAAAAAAAGGAAAGGGAGAAAACTGACTTGAGCAAGGAGAGTGTTTTTTCTATTTCCCTATCACCGATTATTAACCATGTACTCACACTAGGATGGCTGAGTAACAGGAGACATCATACTATGAATATTATAATTAGAGTGTACAAAATGAGTATACAGAAATATTAAGTCACTTACCATGTCAGTAGAAGAAATACTGGGCAAATCCTCTGATGCCAAGGTGGTAACATTAGATATTGAGATATTAACTGTAAGAAAAAGAAATTTTTTACAGTAAAAATAACCCTAAGTGTACCACTAGAAATCTATAAAAAGTCAGGAAAGACATTGTTTTTAATCTCCAATAAAACATAAGCACAGAATGAGTTTTTCTTTATTATAATTTTGTTCACCTTTCACCTAGATAACCAAAAACTCGGGCACATCTGTTGTACTCTAATCTGATAAGACACAATGAATGGCATATATTTAAGAGGATGGCATTAAAATGTATTAGTTTCACATTTCAACAAAACTTCTATGTTTTGAAAAGGCATTCTATATACTTGCCTACTGGGAAAAAATGGTTGTTAAAAAGTGAGCTGATGACTAGCTTCACATACAGTCAAATCTCACAAATAAGAGCTTTACTAATTAACTGATGTGGAATTTTGGAAATTTGGACTGCATATGAGAAAGTATAACTTTGCAAAATGTTAAAAACAAAAAAAGCACTAAATAAATAATAAATTTTATGAGATGAATACTTAATCCAATTAAAATTATTTTCATACAATTTGGCATCATTGTAGGTTTATTTGGATGTCACTTGCAAAAGACTAACTTACTACACCAACGCTCCTCTTGGAAATATTGCATAGTTTTTTTTTTCTATTTATGAGTCTAAAATTGAAACATAGTATTTAAAAAGTATTCAATAATTTAAACATTTTTCCTTATCAAATAACCCTTATACTATTATGTACATAAGATTTATATATTACAGAATAAATTGATACCCAGAGAATATCCCTAATTTGTGGAAATACTGTAACTTTGTCTTTAGAGATAACGTGTTCCTTTAACATCCAAATTACTAATTATTGTTTGTTCTCTGTGTCCCCAAACCCCAACCCTAAGCTTTTAGCCTGTGTTTTTTTTTTTAGTTTGCTATGTTTAAAGGGTCCCAACTATATAAACTTTTAAAAAGAAACAAACAGGTTTATTTGACTATTGAAATTGAGAACATAAGAACCATGAGAGAAAAAGAGAGATTCTTGTCCCCAGGTTTTCCCCAGTATCTGCCCAGTTCTGGCATTTAACTAACAGGCTCTCAAATGTGTCTATTTTCAACCTTAAAATAGAAGGAAATCCTGCCATTTTTGACAACATGGATGAACTTGGATGGCATTATACCCTATGGAATAAGCCAGACCAAAAAATACAAACACTGTATGGTATCACTTATGTGTGGAAACTTTAAAAAAAGAAAGAAAAAAAAAATTAGAGCACATAGGAAGAGCAGGATGGCAGTTACCAGGCAGTGGTAGTGGGGGGGGTGTAAAAGGTATGAAGTAGTAGAAGTTAAAAACTCTGTTATAAGAGGAATGAGGTCTGAGAAGCTAATGTAAAACATAGGGACTACAGTTGATAATTCTATATTTACTTAAAGGTTTCTCATCAAAAATAAATAAGGTAATAGAAAATATAAATTAACTTGATGATAGGAATCATTTTACAATGTACATATAAATCAAATCATCACATTGTACACATTAAGTATATTACAATATTATTTGTTGATTATATACTATAAATTTGAAAAAAATTAGGAATAAATTTTTATACCTAAAATTTTTATTCCTATATAGGAATAAAGGAAATTAAGAAAGGGGATATTTAATAGCTACAAATGAATGAGAGCAAATAAAGACAATAGATAAGAAATAAGGAAAATGGAAGGGGAAAAATATTTAGCTTGAGTCCCAGTTTTGGATCCTATTTGAAATAGGATCTTTGAAAGCTTTGGAATTGTTAAACTTTTAACCTATAGGTTAGCTGTGGTCAAGGCTCCCTTGTTTCATCAGTAGAACAAGCAAATGTGCTTGTTTCATTACAGGTCACAGGGGAAAAAATAAACTAAGAGACTAAAGAATGCTTGACCCAAAAAACATAGCCAAACATGAATCTACTCTCAAAAGAAAAATGTTTTAAAATTATTATTGACCAAAACTAGAATTTTACTATTTTATTCTTAAAAGCTTAAAAGTACATTTTCTTTTTTGTTTAAAGTACAGTTTCTTAAGTTATCAATTTGTTCAATTACAGGTATGGACAGATGAGTAAAAACCCGTTTGTTAACCTGTTTTATGTGGGTGGGACTCTGAAGCATGATATACCAGGGTTTCTTGGCTCAGAATATAGAGTCAATCAGAAGCAGAAATGATACCAAATCATTGATTAGCATTCCAATCATCAAATCATCATCACTCTACTCTAATCATCAAAATCAGCATGATTCACGTGGCCACAGAATTCAAGGTGGAGTAGTGTTCACCAACATTAGATAATATGAATCTGAACAGGAGCTGAAATGTCTGACCTTTCCTAGCACTTTTAAGGAAAACATTTGTGAAATCACAAGCATTATTTAGATGGTGTCAAGACAAGTTGCTCTTCCTGGGCTAGATTCTTCAATGCAATTTTATGCACATCCTGTCACAAGAGAGTGAAGCTATTACTGCAACCCACTTTTCTGCATAAAAGCAAGGAGAAGTGAGGGGGAAAGATATTGAAGGCTTCTTCTTTTTGAAATGAATGACAGATAATAAAGACCACAGTGAGCTAAAATAGGATTCCAATCTGAACTTTCAGTAACTGCTCTCAAGTTTTGGATACACGTCAATTCTGCTCATCTAAATTCCTTTTATCGTTTCAGTTTTCTTCTGAGACAAGCTATTAAGGCATATTGGCTTCCCAAATCCCAAAAGACCATTATCAAAAGGACAGCAAAAAATATAAGCTTTTCCTAATTATTTTAATAGGTAGCTACTTCAAGAGAAAGTCTGCAAAATAAAGATATAAACAAGCACTTACATAAATACATATTGGCAGAATATGATAGAGTAAAAGATTGAAAGTAAAGCAAAAGATTTAAGGTAAAATCTTTAAGCTTACAGAAAGGAAAATGACCAATTGCAATTGGGAGTGTAGTCTACAAGAGTCATTGGTCACCATTTGGATCCAGATACACAGGAGACAAATATTTTGGCAACCAACTGCAGAAGGACTGGTGTATATAGAATTTGCAATATCCTTAATTAAGATTCTGGAAAGGTCAAATGGAAAAACCAAAACACACTGCACTATGTCTTCACTATTTGCTCAATACCAATGCTTATAAGCAAAGAAACTCTGCCTGAGGAATCTGGTTAACTTAGAATTAGCTAATTGGAACTGGGACAGTCTGTTTCTCATACTTGGTTTCAGGGAGTTTCCACAGGTTGATCGTTTTATGTTACTTGGATTTTCACTTCATGATCCTCCTTCCCGGGTATCAAATTCTAGCTGACCCTCTGGAATGGGGAACAAACGTTGTCAGTAAAAGATATTTTAAAAAGTGTCGGTGAGTTTTCCATCTAAAGTTGGCCTTTCTTTATATTTAATGAGAGATTTAGAGAAAGAACAGGCTGCAGGAGCTGAGTGGAGTCAATGTTAGTATACCTCCTGCATACAGAATATCATTTGCATTGCTTCAAGTTGTCCCTATTTATCCTCTAGTGACCTGGCACCAAGAACTACCCCATGACTTTGCTGCTTTACGCATCAGTGGAGATCAGGAACTGTACCATCAGGAATATGCGCAAAAGCGCACTTGAGGCCACAAGGTCAAGTGCAAGCAACAACTGGCCATGAGACAGATCTGTCTGCTTTAATGTACCACCACATCATAAGAGAGAGAAAGGAGAACTGGGAAAATTCTAGTTGGAATTCTGGCACCTCCTCCAAGAGCACAGTGTCCCCAAGCTCCTTCCACACAGAACTTTGAAGATATTACCTCACTCCTCTCAAACCCAGGTCCCTATTTATGAAATTGTATTTGAAACCACCTACCTCATCAAGCTACCAGGTGGATTAAATAAAACAATGTAGGGAAAATTGATAGAACAGTGTCCAGTACCAGTTAAGATCTAAGTAAATCAGATCTGAATCTAATGAGGTTATTACTAACTTTATGACCTGGAAAAAGATGAACTTCAACCCTGGGAAGAATGTCAGCTATCTCACAAGGTTTTATGTGGTTATTAAATACAAATGTTAGATGTGTGCATATGTTATATATTATAATTAACATATATAACATATATGAAAATATAGTTTATTAAAATCCCCTAATAAAATATCCAGCAATGGGGCCTCCTCAGTGGTGCAGCGGGTTGAGTGCTGTGCTGTGAAGCTGTCCGTAGCCTCTTCAGCACGGGTTCGAATCCTGGCCAGCCAGGGAGAAACCCACATGGCAACGCAGGCCTCTCCTGCCTCACCCACTGCTCCCTGCTCTGTCTCTGTTGAATTCTCTTACCCTCCCGCGCACCTCTGACTGTACCTCAGTTCTTGTATAAATAAATGAATCTTTTAAAAAAATTAAAAAAAAAAAAATAAAATATCTGTCAACATGAATGGTGCTCACTCAATGTTAACCAAGTCTGAATATCCTCAATATAGCTTCTTAGAGCTAAAATAATATGGAATTGACTTTAAATAAGAAAAAAAATTAAGATTATTCTCTATGATAATGAAACTTAAATGTAATATTTCATTCTGTTTAAGCAATATTTTGAGGAAATTTAAAACAGATACAGAATAAAACTAAATAAGCCTCGGCCTCCCCGGTGGCGCAGCGGTTGAGCGCTGGGTTGCGAAGCTGCCCACAGCCTCTGCAATGCTGGTTCGATCCCCGGCTGCTCCCCGGCCACCAGAGGAGGGTCCCACATGGCGCGCAGACCTCTCCTGCCGCCCACTGCTCCCCTCAGCAGTGTACTTTGGTCCTTCTGCCTGCTCTGCTCCCCGCTCTGGCTCTGGTGAATTCTCTCACCCTCCCGCGCTTCTGACTGTACCCAGTGCTTATATAAATAAATAAATAAATAAATAAATAAATAAATCTTTAAAAAAAAAAAAAAAAAAAAAAAAACTAAATAAGCCTCTTGCCTGCATGGTTATATCAGATTTAGTAAATGATTCTGGGTTACACAAACTCAGTCGCACCTATTGA